TTTTTTTTTTTAATTGGCAAGACTTTTATCATATGCCCTCTTATACCGGAAGTCCAAGAAATCCTGGTCTCAAAAAAAATGGATTATGCCAGAGCCCTCGTTCTTCGCCGTAGGCCCTGGGTCCGAGATTGCATTCAGTCTTGAAATCGTACAAATTTAACTTTCAAACTTGTCTGACAAATGGTCTTTTCAAAATGCCAAATCAAAAGTCAGTTCTTGAAACTTAAGGCTAAAGGTCTCACRAAAGAATGATATTTTTGCATATCAATTTGAAGAAAACAAACTTTTTTCTCACTATAAATGCACGCATGCGCAAACGTTTTTTCCAAGTTTTCAGAAAAAATGCTTGCACATTGCTTATTTCTAAGAATTCAAGAAAATTTTGAACATGACTGAGTGCAGCTCCTTAGTTCCCACCTAGAAACTGTTTGTCTTTCGATATCTTTCCGCACACGTTTACTAACATAGTACGTCCTCCCGCCCTTTAGACCAACATTAACTCATCCAATCGCACCCAACTAATATCAGCTGAAATTGCAAGGTCAATATTTGCTTCAGTTTATTAGTCATTGCACTAGCTCATAATGGGGATATTTTGTGCGCATATGGCTCCCACATTTCTCTTTTCTTTTCCTCTTCAACTTACCATCCAATTCTTCTAAAAAATGATCGTAATTCYTTCCAGATTTGAGGTGGACAATTTTCTCGTTGTCATCATAGCCAAATGAAGCCCTAAAAAATATTAACGCTTTCAAATTTTATGTTTCAAGATGAATAACATTAAGCAGCGCAAGATAAGACAGATAGTTTTATTGACCACTTGAATTGTATGCGAAATTTTCAGAAGACGCAAACAAATTCCACAATTCTGCCAGTATCCCAAGCGGAAAGGAAGAGTTTGAAAGCCTAAGTGGCCTAAACGGACCCTCTCGATGAAAGTTCAGAGTACAGATAGGAACAGTTAGTTGATATCGGCTAATGGCTATCTGTAGCTCATTGTAGAAAGGTTGGATGGCTGAGAGCGGTTTTCATTTGGGTTAAAATATACGAGAATTAGGAATTATTATATGCGTATAGCACGTACTTGATACAACATGCCATAACAGTTTCTTATGTGTCTGTCCTTTTATTGACGATAAATTTCGTCATCAAATTGTCAAAGTAGTATGTGGATCCACACTACTTTGACTGAAGACTCAATTTACTGTCAATAAGAGGAGACATATAGAAAACTGATGTCTATTTGTTAACTCTCAGTCAGAAAGAATTCCGGCTATGATCGCAAACTTGCGATTCAGCAGATCATTATATATTCCGCACGGAATRAGATAGACATGACTTCAAGTAAAGCCAACTGCAATAGACTCACCAAATCTCATCAGTATGATCGTTTCGTATATTCTCGTACGCTTCTTCAACCCCGTGTTTGTCAACGTTGTGAGGCATTTCTGCTTGTTTCTTTAGGCTTCTATTTTACGCYGCGCACGCACGCACGCACTCAATTGCGTCACAATTAAATGACGTCACATCTTATTAAGTTTGAAATTCCTATCGGGGGGTTGAATACGATGTGAACCTTAATAATTATTATTGCAGGCACAAAAAAGCCTACAAAAGCCGGCTTTCTATCAGTCTCTTTTGCAGGGCCTAGATTAATCATTATRCGTTACATTGCATTCATTTTACATTTTGTATTTTGCATTTTACGTTTGCGGGCATGACTTTTTACGCATGATTTTAGTGCGCGCGTTTATATCGTGATGGCGTCATTCGAATGTTTTGATAAGCTAAATATTAAGGAAAATAAATTTTCCACTTCTTCGAACTCTTGTACCTCTAAAACAAAGTTGGTGACACCATTTTCTTTGACGTAAAATTAAGATGCTACCAAAATCTCCAGGATATGTGAATATTTCGAGATAATGATTGACATGGAAGAAATCCATGACCACCTCTTTGAATGCATCGAACGGATTGATCCAAATCAATCAAGTACATCGATTGTTACTGATTGATCGATTGGCAAAATTGGTATCCATTYTTATCGATTGAGTACGTCGAGTTTMAATTCAAAAATGTTAAAGAATATTTGATGGCTATAATTGACGCGTCTTTTCTTCGCTGACTCCCTGTTTGCTCTACATTTAACACACACACACAAAAGAAATCGGTTTCCTCCGTCTGTTATTTCATTTTTTTGAACAATGTGTTGCGAAATCTTTGCGCCAAGTACGGCCATTCTGAGTAGTTTTAGCCCACCAGTAAAGCTATTTTTTGAARCACTTTTCTAAAACAGCCAAACCCACTCAGAATGACGTTTTATTTAAAAATACCATTAGCATCAACRCAGGAGCAAATTATGTCCAAATTTATTTTTGAAAATGACATATTTTTCATCCCCATACTATACATTAAGTAATTCTACTATAAATGCTATCATCATACGTCACAAATACATTGCTTGGGCTGCCTGTGGTGTATGGAGCTTTTAAAACAGAGTCAGCGGCGGGCTCACCAGCATGTTTTCATGTCGTCCTTGTCGYTGTTAACGATCGAGTGCTTGAAGCAAAAGTACTGATCATGACTTTAGAACTACCATTAGCCTTGCCAAGGGTCGAAATAATCCTTATCTCATTAGCTACTGTTGTATTTTTCCTCGTCAAATCTCGCCTGATCTCGAAGCTTTTGGACAAARTTTTTTCATCAAACGCGTACAAAATATGGTTTGCTTACTTGTTGAAGAAGAATACRCCATCTAAGGACAAAATAAAACCTRGTATTRTGAATCTTCATGAGGAACATCACAAGAAGATCAGAGATAAAGTTATGGAAATTGGAGGAGACGTGATGGAGATCGGAGCAGGAACGGGAAGGTATTTGGATCTCTTACGCCTTCCTGAAGAAAGTTCTTTGGTTGTGRTGGATCTCAACCCGTTCATGGAGAAACATTTTCGCGAGAGTCTCGCAAAGGCGCCTCAGGTCAAGCTGAAAGACTACCTGGTGCAAAGTGCTGCAGACATGAGTAACATACCAGATAACACCTTTGCTGCTGTTCACACTATAGATGTGATGTGCTCGCTGGAGATAGAGGATCTGAGGAAGATGCTAAAAGAAATAAAGAGAGTGTTGAAGCCGGTAAGGTTGATATGGAAGATTCTTAAATTACTGAGATTCGACTCTCGAACCCCTAAAGGGTAAAGGAGAATACGAGGAGTGTAAAAAGATGGCYATAATAAAATGAATCCCATCTCTGGTCTGTGTATATTGCAAAACGTCCTGCTTTATTTAGACATAAATTTACTATTAGAGTGCTTTTAGTCTCACTGTAAATAGGTGACGTCAACTAAATTAGATAAGTTATTTACTATTTTAGGTGACATCACCTAAATTTGAAACTACGAGTAAACAGCTACTGAGATCAAGGGGAGAAACGATGATACAAATGAATGTCTATTCACTCATTCTCTTGTAAAACAACCCAACGGATTAGCATGACCGTTATTTGGCGCGCTTTTACTATTTTAGGTGACGTCAACTAAATAGTTATCTAAGTTAGATAAATTTATCTAACTATTCAACAGTGAGACCAAAAGCACTCTACTTTTATGAGAGAAATAATTTTTTACATCTCATAACAGGATGGTTGTTTGTTCTTCATGGAACATGTCTTGGGTAAGTACTCCTTTGTTCCTTTTATGTGACCTAGCTGCTAGCTCTTATATCATAATTAATGGCATAGCTACCTATAAATACCATATAGGTAACTGTCCGATTATTTTCTTGAAAATTAAAGAATAATCTGGCATTTACCTACTGTATATATGGATAAATAGGTAACTATATARTTATTAGGTAATATGTTAGGAAGCATATTTTAGGTGGCGTAGGGGTGAGAGCGCTTGCCTCTCATCAATGTGACCCGGGTCATATTTTCTCTGGGTTYCTCACGTTCTTCTTCCTAAATTCCAATTAAAACTTGGAACGAGGGCCAAAGGTGCTACCCTCATAAAAACAAGCACAGGTTATAGGCTTCCATGCAGTCCAATTAAGAAATAAGAAGACTCGCAAAATTTCTCTGACTGCAAAATTGGACTTGGCTAGCTACAGCCTTGTCGCATTTTGGCAGTCCTCCAAAATTTTCTCATCCAATTATGATTTCTTAACTGGACAGCATGGAGACCTACAGTTACTTATAATAATCTTGCATTAGTGTCCTCTATTAAGAACACAGAAACCAACCAATCAAATATTTGCTCACTCAAAACACATTTCCCCTATAGATGTACCAGGTACGTGGAGAAGAACCTTCCAGAAGTTTCTTACTTCACAMTTTGGAATATGGCCTCGACTCTTTTGCAATTGTCACTGTGACAGGGAGACATGGCGATACATACAGGATGCAGGGTTTAATAGTGTAGATCTAGGCTATGTTTATCTACCTTTGGATAATTTGCCATGTTTAGTAAAGGTCATATTGTTCGTTATTAGACGATTTTTGATAGGTCATGCAAAAAAGTAATTGGATAAATAGTTTTCTTTTTTTTGAATATCTTGTAAAGTAAAAACACAGCCTCCTCCCCCCCCAAGCAGCCAGCAGATCTCATATACAAAACAAGACAACATATTTTATGGACTCCGTATAAAAATATTTACATTGGATTGCTGCAAATAAAAATATAGAATAGTAGTATAATAGTAGTCAGTTGTATGATATGCAGTCAATCAATGTGGCATAACTTTACCACAGTATGGTATAAAAAATATGTGACTTGTTACTGTTTTTTGTACTGTTCTTATTACAAAGGAAACTCAGTTTATACATTATATTTCAACACATATGGTTATGAGGTTGCACCTGTGACAAGTTGTGTCCTTTATACAGTAAAAACTATAACAATGAATGTTTATATGTATCTTTTCAATTTTATAGTGAACAAAATCCCAAATTGGCTTATGACCTCCACTCTCCATACTTAA